TCTGTCTCTGTCTCTCTCTGTCTCTGTCTCTGTCTCTCTCTCTCTCTCTCTCTCTCATTCAATTGCTCTCACTCAAAGACCGAAAGGAGTAGAGACGTAGAAATCAATCCATAAATAGATAAATCTCCCTATCGAATTCTCTCTATAAATCTACCTTTCTCCAAGGGTGCGTGCACAGAGAAAGCAGGTTTGCCCGCGCCGGCTACCAGCGCCAAGAATTCAACCATATAAACAAGTGTAAGCGTGCACAGAGGAAGCAGGTTCGAGCGTGTCGGCGCCGGCAGCCCGCTTCAACCCGCTTTCCTGTTTGCTCGGATCATTCTTGCCTGCTCAACCCGCGCGGGTGGACGCTATTGGATGGAGAGCAGGATGGATGTTGAGCTCCTCATAGCCACAAAGATTATGAGTGACATCCAGTGTGGGACAAATGGAAGCACCACACCAACAGGAATGGGTCGGATAAACCGTGAGCTGCAATCAGGAAAATTCTGGAATGAAATAAAGCATTCGCGAAAATCATTTCAGAAACATAATAGTTTCTTTTATGTCCCAAAGGATATTGATAAACATACTTTTTTTTTTTTTTAATTAGCATTCTACTTTCCAGCATTTAGTTCCATCAAATGGCTGTCACACTACAGTGAGTCGGAACTGGTTACCCGCGTCCTCTGTGAACACCTTATCGCGCTGGTTTCTGCGCGACCCGCGCTGAAAACCAGCGCGCCGGTAACCTGCCTTCTCTGTGCACGTACCCTAAGACTCTCTGTCTCACTCACTCTTCTCTGTCTCTCTCTCTCTCTCTCTCTCTCTCTCTCTCTCTCTCTCTCTCTCTCTCTCTCTCTCTCTCTCTCTCTCTCTCTCTCTCTCTCACTCTCTCTCTCATACTCCCTCTCTCTCACTCACTCAATCTCTCTCTCTCTCTCTCTCTCTCTCTCTCTCTCTCTCTCTCTCTCTCTCTCTCGCTCTCTCTCTCTCTCTTGTGAGATACACACACACACACACACACACACACATATATATACATATATGTGTATATATATATACACATACAGACGAAGGGCATTTCACTTCGGAAATCCCGTACAACCTGCCTGGAAAACAATAAAGTCCTTAAGAATTTCTTAGGAAATGCGGAAGTCGTCAAGAAATTCTTTTGGTATCCTGAAATATCCTTAAATCTCGCAAATGTTCCACTCACAGCAATCTTTTACAAAATATTTAAAAATTAGACCAGTGGATTTATCAGAAATCGCTGACATGGTTGCATTATTATATACTTTGCAACCCTATGTGCCAAGATTCAAGCCATTTGATTGGCCTGTTGGGTACACAGAGATTTTTAGTACCTACCAGGACTACGGAATCCTTTTTTATTTAATCAAAATGAAGTGTGTGTGTATGCCGAAGAAACGAATAACGCATAAGCCAAGCAATAAGGCTTAAGCGCAATCTTGGTAAGGCATCATTTCAATAAAATAGCTACCAGTGAGTTTACTTTAATCCCCTCATGTCTATTCCCGCTAATTTTCAGAAATAGGTTTGCTCCTTTAAAACACTCAAATTTCTTAATAATTATGGCTATTTCTGGAAGATAGTTGATCCCGAGGTCAATCCTTCAGATTATGACGAAAACGAAAAACAAGAGCTTTTTGACTGAAGGATTTCAATAACCTTAAGCATAGTCAAGTTTTATGGTAAAGTCGTGCATTTCATGTGGAAAAAAATGATAACTATTTAGTTTCTAAAGCATTTACGATTATTTAATCGTAATCGCATTAAAAACTCTGGGAATGCCTAAGAAATCCCTAATGAATCCCTCGAACTATGGAAATCCCAGTAAAAAAATATTTATATAAGTATGCATACATACATATACGTATATACATATACGTATATATATATATATATATATATATATATATATGTGTGTGTGTGTGTGTGTGTGTGTGTGTGTGTGTGTGTGTGTGTGTGTGTGTGTGTGTGTACACAACACACACAACACACACACACACACACACACACACACACACACACACACACACGTGAACATTTACAAAGACAGACAGACTGAGGTAGTGCATATAAAAAACAGGCAACACTTCATAACAGACACGAATTCTTGAAATGCACGGAAATTGCAGTGCATAATAACACCTGCGACTTGAACTCAAAGGGTTGCATTGCACAGGCAAAACTAGGACAGGATATTCTACTCAGCACTATTAAAGTTAACTAAACGCATATATACCATTGTTTGTATAAGAATCTAATGATGTAGGCATAGACCTTACATACAGCAAGGAATCCAAGGAGCCATTGTTGATATTTAATGTAAGAATAATTATATACACCATTTCCTGGTTAAGCTTAGTATCCCATTTGCTTAGTATCCTATTTCCTATGTGCAGTTTCATCAGCCTAACGTGTGATAATTTCAAGGAATCTACAGGGTTTCTGTTGAGGCAGACCAAGGACCACATCAAGCGTAAAGTTACATCTA